CGGAAAATAACCTGAGGCTACACTCCTAAGCATGGATACTAGAAAGACAACACTACCAAAATCAATAGGACTCACTTCAGAGTAATTTTGTTTAGGACAGCAGTGCTAAAGTGAAAGATAACACTATTTGTTTCAGAAATCAAATTTTCTTACTTCTTTCACAGTGGTACCTTGGGTTAAGAACTTAATTCATTCTGGAGGTCGGTTCTTAACCTGAAACTGTTCTTAACCTGAGGTACCAATTTAGCTAATGGGGCCTCCCGCCGCTGCTGTGCCGCCACCACACGATTTCTGTTCTCATCCTCAAGCAAAGTTCTTAACCTGAGGTACTATTTCTGGGTTAGCGGAGTCTGTAACCTGAAGCGTCTGTAACCCGAGGTACCACTGTACTTTGTTGCCTCCTGTTAATGTGTATGTGCTCATTCTAAGCCATTTAAAGCAGCATTATGTGATGCAGTCAAGCAAAAAACAAAGAAACAATAGGATGAAACCCCAGAAATATCAAACAGAAAAAGCACCCTGCACAATGCATGAATTTCCCTTCTTTTCCCCAAAAGGAGTATGCAGCGGGAGGTTCCGAGGGGAAGGAGTTACGGGTTGCTTTTGCAAAGCCGTGGGTGAAATATTCAAAGCAGGCAACATTACACAAAATGTACAACAAATGTAAACAAATGTGTGGTCCTTTTGATATGCAAGAGCAGTGTACAAATCGGGTAAGTAAGGAAGCATGGAGGGCTACGGTGCATAACATGGATTTGGAAAATGTGGATTTTCAGCTGCAGTGCGGATAAGACAACCCCCCCCCCCCCGGTACTGCACACAGGAGGAAGCAGGCAGAGTCTGCTGGCCTGCTCCATTTTGCCATATAGGGGGTTGGTATTTATTAACATGAAATTAGTGACTATTCAATAATGTGATGTGTATTTATTGTTCAATATAGATAGAAATAGATATGTGAATGTGTGTATTAGGCATGATTATTAAATGGAATGTGTGTTTGTAACTATAGAAGGAATTTAATAATTTATTGATAAAGACCCAGTCTTCGAATGATGGCGGGAAAGAATGATGCAGTGCTATTGCATCATGGAACAAAAAAGCTCATTAATAGAAAGACATGGGACTTAAAGCAAGAATTGATAATTTAAATTGGAGGGGTGTCATACTGGAGGCTGAATTCAACTGTGGCTGAACAGCTACGAATTTCCTTAGGGACACAGAGTGTGCAAACATGTGTCCCAAAATTATTGTCTGTTAAGGAAAAGTCATCTTTCTTCAAACTAATTTCAAATCAACATATAATGATGTTCAAATTCCAGAGGGAAGAAGCAATTGGTCTTTAAGTATCAACTGGAATACTCTGTTTCCATCTGATGATCCAGTGAGGACATTTTACCTATTATTTATTGCTGTTTACCTCACAAGTCCAGCTTTTTCTTTATGACACTGAGGACAGCTTTACATTTTGTTGCTGGACAAGCTCTCTCAGTCTCTTATCTGTAACATCACATGTTCTTCAACTGCTTTTAGTCATGTTCAAGTCATGGAAAAAGCTGCAGAGATCGGCCACTGAGACCATTTCCTCATATGGTCAAAGGGTTCCACCTAATGTTCACAGATATGTACTGACTCTTGTAGCACCTTCAATGAATGGGGTAAGGATTTATTAGCCACGAAAATCCAATTTCTCGCTCCCTGGAAATTACACACTTGGTCACTCACCACCAGAGTTTTCACTTAGGATGGAAATATATATGAGTCAAGGTGAGAGGAAATTGTAGCAACGTTCTAACAAGCTGGTTTCCAACCTGCCAGCGTTGTATGCTTCCTTTTCTGATTATTGGGAGAGGGCTGTGGTCTTATTTTAGCTTAGAAAGGAAATAATACTTCTGGTTAAGAAGTACAAGCCATCCCCACCCCCCAAAAAGGCCTCACACGTACTTGAAAAGGTAGACATATGTACAGGGAGAGCTAGAGTTAGAATTGCATGTAAAGTTTCAAGGATATGAAACAAGTGTATAAAGTAGTCACTCCCATCCCAAGTTATAGCATTCTTTAAGATGGCTTTTCCCAACCTGGTGTGCACCAAATGTTGCTGGACTGCAACATCCCTGACCATTGGCCATGCTGGCTGGGGCTGATGGGAGGTGGAGTCCAATAACATCTTAAGGGAACAAGGTTGGGGAAATCAGCTCTTAAATGTTATAGAAAAAGACTTACCCATCTGTAACTATATGGAAGACTGCAACCCAAGTGGATAGCTCAGCTGGTTAGAGTATGGTGCAGATAATGCCAGTGTTGCAGGTTCAATCCTCATATGGCACATCTGCATATTCCTGCAGTGCAATGGGGTTGGAGTAGGAGCTCCTCATGGTCCCTTCCAACTCCACAACCCTCCTGGACCAAAGCCACCTAGTGGGATTCATTGCTAAACGAGATTTTGAACCCAGATATCCCCCTATACTAGAGGTAGTCAACATGGTACACTCCAGATGTTGTGGGCTCCGTCAGACCCAACATGGCCACTGACCAGGGATGGTGGATGTTGTATTGTGTTCTGGTGCCAGAGCCCAAAGGGAAAGCAGGTCAGGCATTGCAGGACCATGGATAGCTCCCAGTTAGCAACTGGGGCAGAGCCACGCCATGCATTTAGATGACATTCAAAGCACATGGATTTCCCCTCCCAAGCCAGCATGGGAACCGTAGCTTCCCTTTCACAGAACTAGAGTTCCTAGCACCCTTAACAAATGACAGTTCCCAGGATTCTCGGGTGAAGCCATATGCTTTAAATGTGTGGTGTGGCTTTGCTCCACCAGAAGTTGAGAGCAGACTGAGGCCTTTTAAGCCTCCAGACTACCTCTTCTAGCTGCCACACCCTTACGGAGAACTTCAAATTTTAATGGGACAACCCTCTAGCTGGAAGATGGACACTCATACTCCATTCCATAGCCTCCTGCACACCCTGCACTGCTGGACCAGTGGGGTACCCTGGGGGTCTGTGAGGGTCCTGGATCTGGCCCTATAGGCCCTGGTAGTACAAGGATCTCTTCTGGGGGCTCCTGCCTGACACCTTCCGCCACAGGCATCTTCTGATCTCCAGCAGCCAACTCAGAGTGCTGAGCTTTTTCCAGCTCCTTAGCTGGTGCCTCTGCAGCCATCAGCTTTGTGTCAGCATTGCTGAAGAATTCAGGGATCCTGGTTATAATCCAACGATAACTGGAGGGTAGCACATTGGCTATACTGGCCCTACACTTGCTCCACCATTTGATACAGTTGCACTGCATATAGTTTCCCATTCTCCATCTTCTTGAGTTCCTCTGCCCATGACTCTGTGTGTATCTGGGTGGTTGCTGCTGCTGCTGCTGCTTTAACAACAATAAGTGTTCCCCATATGAGTTAGAAGTCAGTGGCTTTCCCTCAACATATTTGCTAACACAGAGAAGATGGAGATGGTTGCCAAGTGTCTGTAGATACAGTGGTGCCTCGCAAGACGAAATTAATCCGTTCCGCGAGTCTCTTCGTCTTGCGGTTTTTTCGTCTTGTGAAGCACGGCTATTAGCGGCTTAGCGGCTATTAACGGCTTAGCGGCTTAGTGGCTTTAAGAAAAAGGAAACAAACTCGCAAGAACTCGCAAGACGTTTCGTCTTGCGAAGCAAGCCCATAGGGAAATTCGTCTTGCGGAACGACTCAAAAAACGGAAAACTCTTTCGTCTTGCGCGTTTTTCGTCTTGCGAGGCACCACTGTAAAGCATCTAAGTAGAGATAAGTGGGGGGAGGGGCACAGAACCATGTCAGTTTGAAAGGAGACTGGTCAGAGACAAAGACTCCTAACTTCGTCACTTTTTCCTTCACACTTTCACAAATTTTCATTGCGTAACGGGAAAGTAAAACAGTAACCAGGATGAAGGCAGCAGAAGACCTGCCATTTTTCATTCTGCCTAGCTGCATTGACTGAATTAAGATCCAACTGTTCTCACTGAGGATGGCGTGTCATGGACATGCTAGGACTCTTTGATCTGTTGTGGGAAACATGGGGAATTTGAAGATGTCAAATTCCCTGACATCCATTATCCTCCATTTTCCTTTTCCTAGTATGGGTGTGGGCAAGGGGCAAACTGGAGGCAGGGAAGGCTAAGGTGAGCTGGTGCTGAGGAAAGCTAAATTGACATCATTGAGGTGGGCTGTGTGTTGATGCTGGTTTTCCAAATTGAAAGCGTTAGTGTCTAAAAATTGCAATTATCTAATGCTACGCGGGTGGCGCTGTGGGTTAAACCACAGAGCCTAGGACTTGCCGATCAGAAGGTCGGCGGTTTGAATCCCCACGACGGGATGAGCTCCCATTGCTCAGTCCCTGCTCCTGCCCACCTAGCAGTTCGAAAGCACCTCAAAGTGCAAGTAGATAAATAGGTACCGCTCTGGGGGGAAGGTAAACGGCATTTCCGTGCGCTGCTCTGGTTTGCCAGAAGCGGCTTAGTCATGCTGACCACATGACCTGGAAGCTGTATGCCAGCTCCCTCAGCCAATAAAGTGAGATGAGCGCCGCAACCCCAGAGTTGGTCACGACTGTACCTAATGGTCAGGGGTCCCTTTACCTTTACCTTACCCACCCATCTAACTACATCCCAGAAGGATGGAGCTGAGGGCCAAACTGCTGTTGCATCCACTTCATAGCTTTCATATTGAGCGCAAACTCTTTTCTCACCACAAAAAAGCCAGTCTAAGAGGCATAATCTGAATTAAGATGCTAGTGTAGGAGGGGGAGCCCTGATACAGCCTCAGCCCACATCAGGGACCCTCTGCTCACAAATTGCATTGTAAGAAAGCTACCACTGAAGTGAACAAGAGGTTTATTCCTTTGCAAATTGCAAAACTAAGGAGGCTCAATACAAGTGAGAACCATAGTGTTGAGCCAAGAGTTAAAGCCCTCCTATCTTTCATGCTAGAGTACTGGTCCAGATGATGGGGCCTCTTTGGGGGGCAAAAATGGGGGGTGAGGCTGTGGCTGGATAGTTCAGTTGGTACAGCATGAGATTCTTAATCTCATGGTTGTGGGTTCAAGCCACAAACTGGGCCAAAAAGATTCCTTGATGATGATGATGATGATGATGATGATGATAATGATAATAATACCTCGCCTATCCAGCTGGACTGCCCAAGGCACTCTGTGCAGCCCCCAACCCATATAAAAACATAATAAAACATCAAATATTAAAAACTTCCTGATATACAGGGCTGCCTTCAGATGTCTTCTAAAAGCAAATGCTATCTGATGGATCTTCTATATGACCAAGCTGAGGCCTAGACATAAATGCTAAATCATACCAAACAGAATCCATAACTCACTTTGGATTCTTTATGAGTTGAGTTCCAGACCTATTCCCTCCCCAACTCTCTGACCCAACAAAATGTCAGCAGATCCAAAGGGGTGGGGGAAGCCACGAAGGTTTATTTTTACGAGAATAATGCGATGACACATTTTTCGGCAACTTATAGCAAATTGTCAAGTTGTACTTGGACGAGCCAAATATTTTTGGATAATTTCTGTAATAAAAATATGAAAGCTGCAAGATTCGGACAGGCTGGCTTTTATTAGATTGGCACTCCAAGAATAATAGCGGTTTATGTGAATTCAACACACACATACACAAACTGGGAGGGCGAGCAGAGTAGCTTGGTATTGTTGACAAAATTCATTAGAGCTACGTTTGTATTTAAAATCACACATATTCCTATAAAAGTTGCCCAAAAATCCATGCACCCTGCATATGAATCAACAACCTAAAAAAAAAAAAACCTCTCTTTTCAAGAATAGCAATTTATTTTTCACTATGTGTTAATGATGATTTGTGACCTGCATTTAGTATATACATCAGAAGATTTACAAGTACCGTATTTTTCGCTCTATAAGACGCACCAGACCACAAGACGCACCTAGTTTTTGGAGGAGGAAAACAAAAAAATAAATATTCTGAATCTCAGAAGCCAGAACAGCAAGAGGGATCGCTGCGCAGTGAAAGCAGCAATCCCTCTTGCTGTTCTGGCTTCTGGGATAGCTGCGCAGCCTGCATTCGCCCCATAAGATGCACACACATTTCCCCTTACTTTTTAGGAGGGGAAAAAGTGAGTCTTATAGAGCAAAAAATACATTACTTTAAATTGCACTCAGTTCAATGTTTTAACTATTCTTCCTTCAAGTGAAACAAAGCAAGAAATAAGATAATACTCATGCATGTTGCCATGTGGTGGAATTATTGAAAAAGAAACAGGACTTTGCATCTACAGTGGTACCTCGGGTTAAGTACTTAATTCGTTCCAGAGGTCCGTTCTTAACCTGACACTGTTCTTAATCTGAAGCACCACTTTAGCTAACGGGGCCTCCCACAGCCACCGTGCCGCTGGAGCACAATTTCTGTTCTTATCCTGAAGCAAAGTTCTTAACCCGAGGTACTATTTCTGGGTTAGCGGAGTCTGTAACCTGAAGCGTATGTAACCCGAGGTACCACTGTATTCACTCACTGTCTATGGGTCAAGCCACACCTGTCAGCAAAATCCTGACTTAACATTGTCCATGCCTGTGAACGTTCTATTTTGCCCAGGAACTGTCTCTAGAAAACCTGTGTTTGCCCACAGGTTGGGTTGCGCTTAGTCCAGTTTTTTCTGTGAGTTTCTGCCTTCCAGGACTTGCTGCCCCCTCTTCCCTCCCTGTTCTTAAAGGGGGTTGCTAAGGGCACTCTGGGCTTCTGGACTTGTTGGTCCTTCCTTATCCTCCTCCATTTTCTGGAGATGTTGGGTCCTTTCATTTTTTAGACAACAGGTTTTGTGATTATGCAGAGAGATGTGATACAATCAGAAGACAGGCATAAGAGGGGTTGTTGGGGTTTTTTTGAGAGTGTCATTTGGAAAATGAGAGGGGAGTTCCGGATTCCAGCCAAGCAATAATTGGAAGTGTGCTGTTTGGCAATCAGGAACTCCAATGAAAAACTGACCCTGGGGAGTAGGGTCATGGAAAGAAAGGGAGGTGGGAGGAGACCACCCTTCCCTGCAGATCTCTGGAAACTTCAAAGAGAGCTGTTCATGATCCCTTCCAAAACTGGTTTATCAAGGGGGCCAGTTCTCTCTTTGGATTTTCCGCACATCTGGCCAGACTGGATTGTCACAAGAAACCTATGGCACAGCCATGGAACAGCATGAAAAGGGTGGGGTGAGGGAGATTACTCAGTGCGCAAACCGATCAAAAGAAAGATCAAGCAAAACCATGGAAGGCCCCTAGGAGACTGTGTTCATAAGTCACATAAATTAGCAAGAGATCTAACCATCTGGCTTGGAGCATTTCATCTGTTTTCTTCTGCTCTGTGACCTTTGAAAGAGAATCTCCCATATTGTCCCCATGCTTCAAATGTCATCTAAAATCTAGGATCAGTTAATCCATGGGCGGTGCCTTCTTTTTGGTGGTTCACATTCTGCAGAATAGCCTCTCCAAAAATGCCTGTCTTGCATGATCTTTAGGTGCCTTTGACAAGCCAGTAAAAACCTTTCTTCGATTCCCCCTCCTCCCCCCTACCAAAGAAAGCATCTTGCTCACTTTTGACTGCTGCAGCGACTATTTTCCACCTCCAATATATCACGGTTTATTAGTCCTTATGAAACAATTTTATCCTGTTTCATTAAATAGGAAAAGCTGTGTGCATCATCTTGAACTAATACTAAAGAAATGGCTAAAGGTAAAGGACCCCTAGACGGTTAAGTGCAGTCAAAGGCGACTATAGGGTGCGGTGCTTGTTTTGCTTCAAGTTAAAGGAGCCGGCGTTTGTCCACAGACAGCTTTCTGGGTCATGTGGCCAGCATGACTAAACCACTACTGGCACATGGAGGACTATGACAAGTGCCGGAGCTCCACAGTAGTACCTATTTATCTACTTGCACTGGTGTGCTTTCGAACTGCAAGGTTGGCAGGAGCTGGGACAGAGCAATAGGAGCTCACCCTATTGTGGGGATTTGAACTGCCGACCTTCCAATCAGCAAGCCCAAGAGGCTCAGTGGTTTAGATCACAGCACCACCCACATCCCGGCAGTGACTAACAACACAATCTCATGCATGTCTACTAAGGAGTAAGATACTACTGTTTTCAATGATGCTTAATAATAATAATAATTTATTATTTCTACCCTGCCCATCTGGCTGGGTCTCCCCAGTGAACCTTTCTGTAGAATTGCTGTGTACAGTCAAACTTCAGATCCCGAACACCTCTGTGTTGGAACGTTTCAGCTTCCAAAAGCCGAAAATCCGGAAGTAAGTGTTCCAGTTTCTGGACGTTTTTCAGAAGCTGAACATCCGATGCAGCTTCTGCTTGAGTGCAGGAAGCTCCTGCAACCAATTGGAAGCCACGCCTTGGTTGTCAAACATTTCGGAAGCCGAATGGCTTTCCGGAACAGATTATGTTCAACAACAAAGGTTTGACTGCACATGCTTTTTAATAAATCAGAATAAACTATTTTAATAGCATAATCATATACAGTGGTACCTCGGGTTACAGACACTTCAGGTTACAGACGCTTCTGGTTACAGACTCCACTAACCCAGAAATAGTACCTCAGGTTAAGTACTTTGCTTCGCATGGTGGCAGCACGGTGGCAGTGGGAGGCCGCATTAGCTAAAGTGGTACCTCAGGTTAAGAACAATTTCAGGTTAAGAACGGACCTCCAGAAAGAATTAAGTTCTTAACCTGAGGTACCACTGTACATGTCTGTACAGAAGTAGGTCTCTTGGAGTTCAAGAGACCTACTTCTGAACAGACATACTTCCGGGTTAGCGCCTCCGGTAACGGCTGAACTCCTCTGATCGGGAGGAATTTGCTTCGTGGAAATTAGGGTCTGGCCGCCACGGTGAAGGCGGGGACCCACCAAAAATCACAGGCGGAGAAGCCTGTGAACGTGGGATTCGGCTGGCACCTTTTGCGCCTCCCCTACTCACGGGTAAGCCCGGTTTCGGGGATCCGGAGCGACGTGGGGTGAGTGGCGTGGTGCTTCGAATTGACTGCTTCTTTCACGGAGTGAAGCCTAATTGCTGTTGCCGGACAGCGCTGACTTTTTCCTGTGGACAATTTGATCTTCAAACAACTACCCGTGAGTAGAACGGAAAATTGGATTTTTAAACGTCTTAATTTGGCACCGAAACGGGGAGGTTTCAAACAGGAAGTCCACCTTCCCCTTTTGTATATAGACTGAAGCAAAGAGGCTGCAAGCTAAAGTCTTGGAAAGCCTTTCATAAAGGATTAAACTTCCAGCGGCTAAATCATCAAACCCCCCTTGGAAGCAGGAGAAGAGGGGGGAAATTTTAGATCGCGTAAGCCTGCAGGAGAGAGTGAAGAAAGTTAAATTACCACCGCTCTGACCCTGGAAACGGGCTGCCAGTAAGACTGAAGTTTTGGATATGCTCATTGACTGTGAATAGATTGTTTGTTGACAGTAAGTTAAAGAAGAGAAATACATTGTTTCCATTGTCTCCTTCTGCGTTTAAAAAGGAGTAAAAGTAATTGAAAATTGAAACTAACTTTATTGTTTGAACTGTGCTTAAAAGGTTTGATACAAATAGAAATTGTTTCCCCCCAGAGGAAGCCTTTGAAATTGTTACCTGAGCTGAGCTGGGGAAATTTCCACCTACAAGATAAAACTGTGAGAATCTGGGATTGACCTTGGACTGTTAAGAATGTTGACAGAAGAAGCCTTAGTGGTTGCATTATGTAAGATTAATGATTCACTGGAACAGCTCCATAAGAAGATGGATGCGAGGACTATAAAAATTGATAACTTGGAACAAAAAGTGACTAATTTGGGACAAAAAGTGAATATTAATACAGAAATTACTCAGGAATCGATACAGGGATCTATTTTGACATGGCAAATTGAGGAGTAGGTGGGGTGAGATAGTGGTTGTTGTGGAACCTAAAGCTGCACAAGTGGAGAGGGAGAGAGCCCCAGCCTTACAGATGCAATTTGATGACTATAAGTTGATGCCTTTTGAGACAGAATTTAGAGAAAGTCAGACTTTGAGGATTGGAGCCCCGCTTGGACCGA